CTCTGCAGCAAGCACTTCAGGTTCTCCTCAGTTTCAGCAAGCACAGTTGTGTCATCTGCATAACGCAGAAGTAGGGTATAACTTTTTGCAGTAGAGTATTTTTATTTCCAGTATTTAAATAGGCAAATATGAAAGGTTTTTATTTCTCAAGTTTGCTTCCTTTTTTAAAAAATTGTTTCCGTTTATGCCCATAATGAAAATAACAACAACAAAAGGAACCACACTAAACCAAAATACACCACAGACCATCTAATGGAGGGTCCCCTTTGGGTCGGATCAGGAGTTACGAGCTTGAGGGAAAATAAACATGCAGGGTTTCAAACCTCGTGTAGGAATTCATCTGTTCTCCCTCATTGATGTTCAGTGCCTCCAACCTATTTTTAAGATGATCATGAAATCGAGATTAAATCCATTCAAGATCATATTCCAGTGGTCTTATTTTTATATTCTGAAGCCTGAAGCCTCACCTTGAATTTGCCTATGAAATAACTCATGATGTGAACCACCTTTTGCCCCTGGCCTAAGTTCTGACTGCTGATATTCAATGTCTGTCTCCAGTGATCTCCACAAATGTAGTTAGATTCCCATGAAGCCCATCAGGTGAGATCCATGTAAAGAGTTGTCATGTGTTTCTTTTCAAAAGGGTATTTGCAATGAAGAAATCAGTCTAAATACAAAATTCCGTCATTCTATTCCCCACCTCATTTTTGTCGCCAAGTCGATATTTGCCACCTCCGATTGCTTCTTCAGTCTTTGTGACTTTTGCATTTCAGTCACCATTTATCTTTAATGTTGCTTGATTGCACGTGTGGTCGATTATCAGAGAGCTATATTTCCTTAAAATGTTCAATTTCTTCCTCTTTGCATCTAGATGTAGAAGAGTATATTTGAATACTACACATGTTAACGGGTTTTCCCTGTATTCATGTGGATATTATCCTATCAGTCACTACATTGTATTTCAGGATAGAACCTGAAACCAAGGTTCCTTTGCAATGAACGGGACAACATACTTTTGCTTTGTCATTCCTACATATTATACCATATGATCATCTGATTCAAAGTTGCCAAAAGTGGTCCCTCATTTCACTAACGCCAAGTATACCGATATTCATATGTTCCATTTCAGTTTTTTTATTACTTCTAATGAAAGTTTACAGACACAGGGTTTCCAGTCATGCACTGTTGCACTTTTCTCCCTGCCCAACCCCTCCCCCCATCACTCTTCTCTTTGAAAACAAAGTGGGAAAACACATTGTTACGCAATCCCTACCCCCAAGTTCACTCCACTATGCAGCCTTCACTCTGGACTTCTGAAATGACAAGAAAACCCATTCATAGATCCCTTTTCAACAGATCTCTCCCTCATCTGTCTCAATGCAATATACATCATTCCTCCCCGCCTTTTCTGTTTTCCCTTAACCCTGATGTTAGTCCCATTTTACAACAGTAGCCCTATGCAATATTTGTCCTTTTGTGACTGAGGTCTTTCACTCGGCATAATGTCCTCCAGGCTCACTCATTTTGAATGAGATGAGTTCCCTGTTTTTCAGTGCTGTGTAGTATTCCATTCTGTGAATATACCAGAGCTTCTCTATCCGTTCGTTTGTTGATGGGCACCTGGGTTGTTTCCAGCTCTTTACTATTGTGAACAAAGCCGCAATAAACAGGGTGTGTGTTCCATTTTATTTTTAACAATACCCCGTTTTCCAGCATTCAAGCCAAGTATAGTCCATGTTCTGATTATTAAAAGACTCCACGTTTGTTATTGTTATTCCTCATTTGAACTAAATTCCAATCTGGGCTCTACCGTTACATTACTATAACAATCCTCTTTTATTAGCGTTCATAGGGCTTTCAGAGATCTGTAATTTAGGAAGTAGATGGTCCATCTTCCTTCCGTGTCTGTCTTAATCAGGGAGCTGCACCAAAACCTGTCCGCCATGGGTTACTCAAATGTCATTTGACACACGAGTGGCACAGAAGTCACTCACATATTAACCATACTTTATCTCAGGACAGCAAACTGGCAGCCAACATTTAGAACGCTCAGAACAATTTTTTCCCCTCAACTATAACACCAGAATCCAAATCCTCCAAACTGGACACTCACCTCCAGGTAGGACCCAACCGACTTTTAAATATGAATACAAAACAAAGTTCCTTGAAACAAATGATAATGAAAATACAACATACCCAGACCTATGGAATACAGGTAAGGCAGATTGGGGGTGGGGGCTATAGTTCATAGCAAAAAACACACAGAAAAGAAGAATAATCAGTGATCTTACTCTAAACCTTCATTATATAGGAACAAAAATCTAATCAAACAGCCTCTAAAATAAAAATTATGTACAACAATCAATGAATATATTTTAAAAAAACGTGTAGAAGGGGAACAGGGAGAAGGAGTAAAATTATGCAACAATGAATGAATGAAAATCTAACTTTGAAAAATCACAAAATGAAAATTGTTTTTAGTATATATGTAATTGTTGTTATGTGCCGTCGAGTCGCCTGCGACTCATAGCGACCCTATGTACAACAGCACTACACTCCGCTCTGTCCTGTGCCAATCGCACTGTCTCTGAAACTCCCATCCCAATTATCCCAGTCACTGACTCAATCCACCTCATAGAGGGCCTTCCTCTCCTGCGCCGTCCTTCCACCCTCCCAAGCATGATGTCCCTCTCTAAGGACCGGTCTCTCCTCACTACATGTCCAAAGTAAGTCAGACGGAGCCTCAGAATCCTTTCCTCCAAGGAGCCACCCGGTTTCACCCTTTCCAGGACAAATCTGTTTGTTTTCCTAGCAGTCCATGGTATTCTCAGTACTCTTCTCCAGCACCACAGCTCAAAGGCATCAGTTCTCCTTCTATCCTCCTTGGTCATTGTCCAACTCTCTGATGCGTAACAGGTGATTGCGAAGACCATGGCCTGTATCAGACGCACCTCAGCACTTTGGAGAGGTCCCTAACAGCAGACTTTCCCATGGCTATGCGCCTTTTAATTTCCTGGCTGCTGGTGCCCAGACTGTTGACTATGGAGCCAAGCAAACTAAAGCTGTGTACAATCTCAATCTCTTCACCATCCATCCTGATGCTGCCAATTGGTCCAGTGGTGAGAATCTTTGTCTTCTTGACATTGAGCCTCAATCCATATTGGAGGCTGCAGTCCTTGACCCTCTGCAGCAGGCGCTTCAGGTCCTCTTCAGTTTCAGCAAGCAGGGTTGTGTCATCCACATAACGCAGGTTGTTGATAATGAAAAAAATTTAGTATATATAGCTTTATTTAAGAAAAGCTGTCTTGATAATGAAATCTGAGTGTGTCAATAGAATCCTTGCAAAGTAACATCTAAATAACTAGATGTCATAACCTGAGGGTGAGTATCCACTCCCATCAACGTTCTGTCTTTGTCTTCCCGACACCTCGTTCCTGGCCTACCTGTCATCCACCTGCTATGTTTCACTCTCTTTCTAGCATGTCTTCCGGCCTGATTGTGTTGTTAGCATTTCAGCAGGATGAAATGCTTTGCTAATCCTTTAAAGACAGGCCATCATTTTATTCATACAACATTTCTGTGAAGTCGACAGTGACTATCAACTAAAGGATAAGAACCTACCCTCCAAAATACAACTTCTCCAAATACCATCCACCAAACTGGAAAGTTCGTCATGGCCCAAGCGACTTTTACATACACAGGACAGCCCTCCAGGTCCTGATTTAACTTAAACAAGAGGCTTCCTGGCCACAGCTGATTGTGAACGAAATCAGAAACAGACAATCAGTTTATTCTGAGTTGTTAACAAAAAACAAAAACTCCCAAATAGTTCACTACACTCAGCTTTCAAGTAAATAAAAATACATTTAATCTTCAGAATCCACGTGATCTAAGCTGGCGACTCCTTGAAGTCCTTGGCTATTCCTGGAGAGAGAGCTGGGATGCTGGGAATTGTGGAGAGTCTGAGACGGAGAGGAAGACCCTCACCTAGGTGAATTGACACAGTGACTGGTGCAATGGGCTCTTGTGGGTAAGAAAGTATGAGGATGGAACAGGATAGAACAGGGTTCAGATATTTTGTTCATACGGTTGCTATGATTCATTCTCAAGGGCACCTAATAACAAAAACAATAACACTGCAAAAAGCTAAACACCTGTTTTTTGTTCCTCAAATATGCTTGATTTTTGATGTTTTCTTGGACTGTTTTCTTGGATCTGCTTTTGTTCTTGGACCTACTGAAAATCTGTTTGCTCCTGGTATTTTCTGGAAACTCTAATTGCCTGTTGGACTCACACACTTCCATCCCCAAGCAGCTGCAGCAGACCCACGCGTGTCACGGCACATTGACTTGCAAAACGATGCGTCTTCTGTGAAAAATTGTGTTGCTCTTAGGTCAGTGTGTCCACATCCCCAGGAGTCTGTGGGAAATTAAGCTGTTCTGGCCCCAGGACGTCATGATCTGAGGTCATTTCCTGAGTCTGAATATGCAGTTCTGCCTGTACTCTGTCTGTCTAAAGAATTTTTTCTGCATCCTTCTCCACCCTACCTGCCACCTGCCTTTTCCCCTCAGTCTCTCTAGACTTGTTGAGTTTCTCCTCAGTCCTCTGTCCTTGCTCAGCTCTGAGCAATTAACATTTCAGAAAGAGAACTTTGCTAATACTTTAAAGACAGTCTTTTTTTAATCCATAAAACAATTTTGTGAGGGAAACAGCAGTTGAGTGTTAGTTGTCCAGGATATCAATATTTTATGCATGGACTTAAAAAACATAAAGAAAATGTGGTGCTTCCTTCAGCAGCACACACACTAAAATTGAAACAATACAAAGAAGCTAAGCACGGCCCCTGTGCAAGGATAACATGCAAATTCATGAAGCACTTCATATTGTTTTATACATTGTTTATAGGACTTTAAAATGGTGCAACCACTCACTTTAGAAGACAGTTTGGGACTTCATCAAAAAGTGCACATAGAAATTCCATAAGAACCACCTATTACACTGTTTGGAATATACCCCCAGAAAATGAGAACTGAGGGTCACATGGAGACTTGCACCCCAGTATTCATAGCAGCCTTATTTACTGCCTCAATAACATGGAAAAAAGCCCTGCTATCCAAAGACTTACTGGGTTAAATGGATTGAGAACTTATGATATATTCACACATGAAATGCTATGCAGTATGCAGTTAGTAATAATTTTGTACATTTTTACATCATTTTGGAGGGATATTAGAGAGTGTTATGCTGAATACATTAACTCAGTCCCCTAACAATAAAAAACACTGTATAAAACCATTATCGTATAATGAGCATGAGGGTCCCAGTGTGGGGAAGGTGGAAATAGATAAGGATGTGCGCTGGGTGAGGAGATAATTATGGGGTGGCAAAATTGGAAATGGCCAGGAACTGGGTAGAAAAACAATGTATTTTAATTTCGTAAACTAGTATAATAAAAAAAAATATACTTAAGATATGTATATATAAAATATTAATAAATTGCTCGCCAAAAATTAAAAAGCACCCCACTAGAGGGTCGTTTATGGGTTCATTCATCCTGAAGGAGTAATAAGCTTGAAGGGAAATCAACCCTCCAGGACTCTAAACTGAGAATGGACCCTAGGAACTAAAAGGCAGGGCAATAACTTTCGCAGGTCATGTTCTACTACGGACCACTTACTGTGAGGGACCACAAAGACCGGAAGTGGCCCTGATCGCCTTAATGAGTAGAATAAAGGAAGAAAAATTCTCCTTTTTCACTTTTGTTTGGCCTGGCCATCTCGGAGGCGACAACATGTTCTTTCACAGTCTGGGAATGGGACTCTCCCGTCTCTGTTCGCTCCCGGTGTCGCTCGGACACTCGGACTTCCGGTGGTGCTCACACATCTCCTTCCCCGAGGAGCTGCAGCCGCTGACCGGCGCGTGTCTGGGTGAGTTCCCAGGGAAGAGGCCGCGGCTTCTCGGAGCAAATGGGCGGCTCGCAGGTCAGTGTGTCCCCCGCCCCTGA